CTCCTCTGTCCTGTGAGGCGGACAGCTCAGCCGAGGCTGTCACGTTCTCTTGTCYTGGCCACACCTCCGCTCTCTAACCCCCCTTCCTCTACCCACACCCCCTCCCCTACCCACTTTGATGCATTTTTCAAATTTCGCCTTGGGGCGGAGTTATCTTTTCACAGGGGGGTAAGATACACTTTAAACCATGTAAACTTTTTGGACCCTGCCTCTAAAATGAATCTGAATCGGGAATCGTTGGGAATCATACAAATTCAAACGAYGCCCAACCAATGGCCCAGCACTACTTCTAAGGTTTGACCACAACAGTAATAACCTATTTCTCATTTTAGTTAAAAACTCTGGCATGAGAGGCAGCGGGCGACATGCATTCCTTCAAGGGATTTCAGGCTTTTAATTTTTACAATGTTTTTAGTTTGAAGATGAACAAATGTGTTAATGTGTGTTACCTCCATCTCACACATGTCGTCGCTGTGTGTTAAATCAGATTTCAGAGGAGAAAGGAGCGGTCCTCTGTGTTTTCCCTTTCCTTTCCCTTGGTACTGGGTATGGGAGGCAGAGGGCTGCTGACTCCCCTGCAGACTCTGATCATCAATATCATCATCCTCGTCATCATTGTCATCATCATCGTCATCATCATCATCATCCTCCTCTTCATCATCATCGCCTCCAGGCTGTACAACCAAATCAAAAGTTAAAGCTATTGCACAGACAATATTTGCAAAAGAAAAAACAAAGACTGGATGAAATGTACAGAAGCAATGGACATCTTTGTTTCATTTCGTACTTACAGTGTGTGCTACTCTTGCTTTTATTTTCCTTTTGCGTTGAATGTGTGGGCAAAGAAAYTGGTACCGCTCAAAGATCTTCTGATCGGTGTATGACAATGTCAACTCAGGAGCATCAGATTTGCGTTTCATCACCTTCACAAATCTGGTTCGTATGTTGCGCAAATGTGCATCCACTTGTGTCACTGCAACACAAAAAGAATACAAATTTCAAATCTTCCTCACCAAAATCATTTTGCACCAAACACATACAGTATTTGGTAACGGAGGTTTTTCTTTTGTTGCTAAACATGGTTTATTTTGCACAGATATCAGTTTAATAAATGAGGAAAAATGAAAGGTGTAGCATTCTTTAATAACGCATATATTTCAGAACTTTTAGAGTACATTAATCAGTGTGGTATTAAAACAGGTGTGGGAAAATACTGGGCTGTTCCGACATGTAGCCATCACTCAAGCTGTTGCTGGGAGCAACATGATTTGCTGATTGGCTCCTCCCACTTATTATRTCTCAAAGATTAAAGTATGTCTTTTTAGGGTTTTTAAGTTTCAAAATAACTTGACCTTTATCACAGTTGTATCTGCACTGCTGTGCACTTTTAACCAATCTCTGTGCAGATTAAGTTTAGATTTATTTGCACATACACAGAGAAAGGAGCTCTCGGCTATCGGGGGGGGAAACATTTTTTAAAATAAATTTTAAATCTGAAAGGAGTTGGGCTATGGTGTTTTGACTTTGAAAACCCACATCTGGGTTGTTCCCTTCAGTGTCAGTTTATTGTCACATTATTCTAATCAGTTGGAGATGCTACCTTGGCCCAAGTTTTCACAAGTCCACAGTACTGTGTCTGTCACTACCTCCATCTGAGATAGAGTTAGTTTTGAGTCCCCGCCTCTCTGCCTCTGCCTCTGTGTGTCTTCTGCCCCCCCACCCTGCCTCTGTGTGTCTTCTGTCCCCCTCTCTGCCTCTGTGTGTCTTCTGTCCCCCTCTCTGCCTCTGTGTGTCTTCTGTCCCCCTCTCTGCCTCTGTGTGTCTTCTGTCCCCCCTCTCTGCTTGTGTGTGTCTTCTGTCCCCCTCTCTGCTTCTGTGTGTCTTCTG